CTAAACACAAAAGAGCTCAAAATATCAAAATAAGAAAATACTGTAAATAAATGTCTGTGTCTATGAACACAGTTTCCCAGGTCACTAATGGACAACAAAGGACGTGAAAAGAGCGCGAGATAATGGTTTGTATTAAAAGTAAAATTCGTTTCAAAATTGTAATTTATTTTGCCGCCATAGGCTATTGTTGACCTTACCTATTCGCTAAACGGGGCTTGATTCCATTAATTAATTAATATTTTCAAGCGTCTTTTTATGAACATCAGAAACATTCAAATTCTGTCCAAAAAACAATTTTTTTGTTTGTTTACAAACATTCAAAGAAAAGGACTTGCTTGTCTCTCGCTATGCACATATAAACACTCAAGGAATGAGTCTTGGTTTTCTCTCTTTATACACATATAAACTCTCAAGGAATAAGTCTTTGCATAGAGAGAGAAAACCTTCCTTGAGTGTTTATATATGGTTTCTCCCTCTCTATGTACATATAAACACTCAAGGAATAAGTCTTGGTTTTCTCTCTCTATGCATATATAAACACTCAAGAAATGAGTCTTGGTTTCCACCTATAAACGCTCAAAAGGTAGGACTTTATTATCTCTCTCTATAAACACTAAATGAACATGACTAATTTCGCTATAAACACTCAAAAACAGACAAGGAATAATTTTGGTTTTCGCCTATAAACGTTTAAAAAAGTAGGACTTTATTCTCTCAATATATAAACACTCAATGAACATGACTGTTTGTTTTGTTGTTGTTTTGCTATAAGCACTCATAAAGCACTTGATTTTCTTCCTATAATACATGAAGGGCCAAAAATACTTTATTTTCTAAAGAAAAAAAAAGCCAACTCCTCTTCTTTAGAAATAATTGACGGATATTAATTTCTTTTCAAAATATCCATTGAACAGCTGACATAGAGCATTTTATGTGAAATTGTGGTTTTCACATGTAGCTTTTTCACAATTTACGTCTATACCTGCCTACCTATCTAAGTCATTATATTATCATATGAAGCCATATCATTCTTGTGCTTTCTTGAAACAAATATAATCAATTGGGTATTCGGAGAAAAAACAGTTCTAACTTTTGTACGAAAATCTCATCATATACACTTTTTGCTTTAATTTTAAATAAGTATACATTGTCCTCTTATAACGAAAATGTTGCAGGCATATAACTCTATTAACTATGTTTTTTTTTGTGTCTGTGTTTTACGTTTAGGTCATCATCAAACTTCCAGCTTTGAAGTAACGAGGAATACAACAAGAATAGCTAGACTTGACATGCAACAAATTCAACGATATACCAGGAACAATTTAAAACCAATTTCTTCAATCAAAAGTTAAATAAGTTGCATTTTAACATAAACCAATATCACTGTGACCGAGTTAAAAAAATCAACCTATGAAATATTAGGTAACATTTTTGAAGATGTTTAAGTATTGCTAGTTTCCAGAGAATATGAATCAGGAAAGCTGCTGCTATCTTTACTAAGTCGTTGCCTCTGTCTGCAGTTTGTGTAAAGCGGATATATTCTAATGCTAAACTAAGGTTGTAAGATGTTCAATGACAATATCACCACACTCTTTATGACGACAGTCGTTATTCAAACAAAGGCTGCTATATCAACCTGGCTTGAACTTGTGTGTAAGAAGCTGCGCTAATACTCCTCTCCAATTAGGTTAAGTGACGAATTGAAGAAGTATCCCATTATAATGCTGCGATGAATAAGAATAACGGTAGCATTTCTAAAACTTATCTAACGTCCTTTGTAAATAAGTCACTCATGGTGAATCTCTTTAAGATATTAAAGGGATCAGAGAGTTTCATTAGGAAGGATTCATATGATCCGTCACAGGCACGTTCAGCTTGTTTGTGTACAGCAGATCCGGGACAATAAATGGTTCTCATCATGTGGTTCTCATCGAAACTCGTAGTGGTTGAATAATATTCAAAACAACCTGTTTAAATTAGATTAATATTAAATTAATCACACTCAGATGGTAGATATCACTACTAGTTAATTAAAGTACTTTAAATCATAGCTAGTTTTCAAATGATGTGCTCTGAAAAGGATTACTAGTCTTGTGTTCTCCCAAAAAGAATATCACTAACTGAACTATAACTGTTATTTGTTGGTAATAGGTATTAGTGACTTAGATTAAAGTCGTTCACACTTGCTATAATTACAACAAGCAGTTAGGGCTGAAAGAAGAAAACTGCTTAAACTAGTTAGATCTATATGAATTGTTTAAAAGTTCAAAAATGAGTTAATACTATTAGTGAAATTCAAGTAATTTGTAACTCATATATATATATGTGTATAAACTATATTTTTCCCAAAAGATCAAAGTAAGTGATAAAAGTGATGTCAGTGTAAGAGTGATAAAATGCTCTAATGTACTATATCATTTGCTTAATGGTTCCTAATTTGGTGTGTGCTGTATAAAGTAAAAAAATATATATATTATTGTTAAACTTGTAAAAATTATGTTAGTGTTACACAACCTCAGCATACACTGATCTATATATAGAGGTTATTACATTGCCATTGTACTTTAAACCTGTTAGTAACCTCCTGGTTATCAAGAGATATCAAAATTGTTTCATATTAGAAACAGCGCGTGTTTAGATTAAACCAACATGTTGAAATATTTCGTTGTGGCGGATTTTAAATAATCTGAAAATATAGTGTGTTTATTAAAGAAACTGTTTCAGAACATTTTTGTAGTTGTAGCAAAAACACATCGAAAAGGTTTCACTAATGCTAACCGATCTAGAATATTCTGTTATTACTTAATAAATCTGGGTTCCAGAATGTAGAAGCTTCTAGCTTGAAATGTTTTAATCCCATCAGTGGATTTAGGATCCATATATATATAAAACTTAAATATCCATGCAAAGTTACCACTTAAAGCTATAATGTTTTTGTAAGTCCCGAATTTTGCTTTTATGACAAAATGTATATCATACAGAGATAAGAAATTAACTTTTTGTATAAATCGTATACATTTAAAAAATAATATTAATTACTTTCAGTAAATTAAGGTGGCTTACAATGCTTTTTGGGCAAGAAGAAGTTTCTCTAGATAAGGTTTTGTTTGAATACACTATACAGTTTTGGTATCTCTAAAACCTACCAATAAAATAGAAATATTTGAGTTCAAACTATGTATCTTCTATATATATAGTGTGTGGTGCTGAGGTTCGTGTCTTACACATTTTCGTTTTTTGTCATTTTATCGTGCCCTACAAAGTATGATCAATAACACACGATATTAGAAAAAAAAGCAACAACAACAACAAAAAATAACGTGGGGGCCATCTTAGCATTTCTTTATTTCCTTTCACTTTTTGTAATTTAATACTCTCAAATCTTTTTACATAAAAATCGACATATAGTTTTAGCAGAAAAGAACATTAAGCCGTATTAGTGCAAATGAAAAGTAGGTATGTTCTGTGTAAATAGTGGCAATAATGAATTGTATCTAAACATTAAAAGAGCTGTAAATTTTGCACTGTAAGCGGCAGCTGTAAATTGTACGTTTTAAATGGAAACAGCTGAAGTAAATTTGACTCAAAAGCCGTATGGTCTTCAGTTGATCTAATATATATAATTATGTTCTATTTAAGTTATTAATGTTCACGAGGTTGATGCTCTTGGTGTTTTCTGCACTTTGTTTTTTACTATTTCCCCATTGTTTTTATACCTTCAATATATTTAGGATTATGAAAATTAATCAACAAATTGTATTTAGAAGTATGACTGGCCACAAAGTTTCTAAATTAATATTCGTCTTATTTGGTTATGTTTCTATGTAATTGGTTTTAACAGATCAATTGTTTATAAAACTACCGAATAAATGTCTCTAAAACAGCCTTTGATTGTCTGAAAATATGTTTTGGGGTTAAAAAAAGTTTACAAAAATCTATTTTCAACATAATAAGGAATACAATAGAATCATATACGAACATAACATTTCATTATTTGGACTGATTTTCTCAAATAAACTTTCCCTTTTTGTTTCAGTTTTTTACTCGGTAAATTTAATAAAGTTACCCATTAAAATCCCATAGATTAAAAAATCTTAAACTAAGTGTAACAAGCATTACCTAAAACACTGTTTACAACTAAACATGGTAAAAACACAGTTGGAGACTTAGCTACAGCAAATAATAAAATGCTATTTCTTGAATATACGAAGTTATAGCACCGCATCCTATAGATGTGCTAATTATGCCAGAGTTCAGCACCGCATCCTATAGATGTGCTAATTAAGCCGGAGTTCAGCACCGCATCCTATAGATGTGCTAATTAAGCCGGAGTTCAACACCGCATCCTATAGATGTGCTAATTAAGCCGGAGTTCAGCACCGCATCCTATAGATGTGCCATTTCAAACTTGATAATATTCTTCAATAATATCCGTGGCTTTAAACAATTTTGTGTTTAATTTCCTATAGAGAATTTAAAAAAATAGATTCGACAAACACTTTCTACTAAAACGTCATATATCGAAAATGGTTTGAATAAATTAACTTACAGAAACAAATAACAAGAGTAAACTCTACAAATATGAATAATTTTATTTTGGAATGAACAAGAATAATGCATGCTAGTGAACCATAATTCATTTTAAAAGTTCGTATTCTATGTGTAAATTATTCTCCGGACAAAAAAAAACAAACAAAAAAAAACATTTAACTTATTTTTAGGACTTGCTTAGACCTGAGATAAAAAAAAAGCTCAAACTATATTTTTACCTTTATTTTCCTGATTGGACTAATAATTATTTCGTTTGAACGAATAGAATAAAGACACGAATTCTTTACCACTTAGAAGAAAACATGAATCCTTAGAAGTCTTATGACCACGCTAAATTCAGGTAACTCTGTGACAGGTTGGTTAAGTATACTAGTCAATTTTCACCATATATACTGTTATTATGATTTTTTTCAACAACAGAAAGAAACGCGAAGTTCGATAACACTACGTTGCGTCGGCGAGGTCACGTGACTAGTATCACGCCACCCGTTTTCTAGAAATATCCTGTTCCTTCGTGAATGCCCTAGCATTTACTAGATTGGGGGTAGCTGGTATATATAAGATGGTCACAACGTGACGGGACAGTGTGTAGTAGTGAGTAACTGAACTGAGTATTGTCGAGCACGAGCACGTGAGTATTATAGCGTTTGTTGCAGAGCGACTGTTGAAGTTGAGTGTATCGTAAAGTTGTATTCGGAAAGAATAAACCAGTTTTATTTAAGAAAGGACTTGTGTCGCTAAAGTTTCGTCGGAACGAATTTACGGAAAATCAATTAACGAACGGAGACGTAACAACTACATTAATGAAACATGTAAAGGCTCAATAGTTTAAATCTTAGTAAGACTCAAAAAAGAAATTAAAACGTAAAAACTTAAAATTGTTTTAGATCAAATAAATTAATGGAAATTATTTAAAAATCACTTAAACTGTTTAAGCTGAGAAGAAGACTAATGTCACGTTACCAACTACGTACTTGGATTTTAAACTTGACATTTTCGTTACAACAGGCCATGAAAAAGTAGTAGAAATCTTAAACATACTCGAACTTTCACAACACAAACAGCCTGAAATAAAAGAAAAACTCCAATTTTACTTAATACGTTTGATAAAGCAGATAATACTGAGGTGCATTGATGTGCAAAAATTTACAAGGTATGCAAACAGAATTGTGTTTAGAAATCATTCCTCTAGATGTCTCTGAAGACATTAGAGGATATTAAAAACGTATCCTCCGTTTCATAATAAAGCCTCAGTTTTTGTTTTGTCACGGTACAAAGTCAAACGGATGATATTGAGGTGCAAAGATAATTAAGAATTATAAGGTATGCATAACTTAGAAATTAGGGGTGGGTGATTAGGAAATGATGAGATGGGGTGAGATAGAAATAAAAGTGGAAAGTCAATTTACCGGACGATGGAACTCTGAAATAACATATATTTAAGATCAGTGGATCAATACTTCCCGCGATGGATCAGCGGTAACTTTACAGATTTACAGTGCTAAGATCCGGGACCCAAGTCCCCGCGGTGGGCAGAGTGTAGATAGTCTGTTGTCTAATTTTCTGCTTTTACTCTTTTACTCTTAAACAGTAGAACATAATGTGAATTTAATATGTTAGAAAATCACATAGCGGATCAGTACACTAATTGATATGACATGGAAGTCCATCTTATACAGTTATTACCGAAAGATTTTTGACACCTGCCATACGAGCCAGTCCAGTATCTTTTAGTACGGAACCTAGGATGATTAACAGGGGGATCGTTCCTGAAACTGGTGATTTAGGGTTATTTGATAGCTCTCGATGAATGAATTTTGGACAGCTTCTAAAATGAAAAATAAAACAAAATCTCTATAAATAATACTCTTGCGTTTGTCTGTCCGGAACGTTTCTCGCAAATTTCTCGATCAAATACTACAAATCCCATATCGTTAGAAAGGCCTTTGTTTGAGGAGTCCGGATTTCATATTGCCTTTTCCATTCAGAATCACCTTATCTGATTTTTGCTTAGTCAAACGTTTTAATGCAACAAGTATGCTACACCATGATACAATGTAGCTATCATCACGTGACGATTGCCTTCGACTACCTTCGATTTCAACTTTAGCTTTTGTATTTGCAATGTATTTCACACAAACAACACTTAAACCGCGTACAATTTCTAAGTTCCTTTAAAAAAAATTAACATTACACTATATACAGTTTCTATGGACTTTCTCGACTTATTTAGGTCTAAAATACGCACGCGCACCATATTCTTATCACTTTGTGAACATGCATACAGACATTTCTGCATATTCAGCTAAGTTTGCCTTCATTACAGATTTACATTTATTTTACTTTGCAATAATTTAGCTTCGATTCGTTTCATAGACTGCTATAAATACCTTTTAGCTAATTTTTTCTTTACTGCGTATTTTATTCTTCGTTTGTTGTGAGTTTCAACTGATAAAACCGTGTCACTAAACGCTCATACTGTTTCATACTCTGTACACTATTATAAATACCGTTACTATACTTTATTGCTTACTTTACGTGCAGTTTTATTAAATAATGCTACGTCTGACCGCGTAAAATTGTTTTGAATGTATCAGGATTTATCGATCTAGCACATAATACCTGCAAGAAAACTTTTCTTAAATGGCGTGCGTGAAAATGTTAGAATCAGAACAATTCAAGCGAAGGGCATGAAGACTACCGCAAACATTTTACAGATCGAGGCTAGTATCAATGAAGGTATTACATAATGCAATATATACGGATTATACTATAGTGGTACCGTACTGGGCATTATACCATTCTTCTTATGTTTACTCTTCAT